TTTGGGGGGGGGGGTATAGAGAGTAGATGCCTAACCTCTTTTTTAATTTTAATCTACTATGAAATTAAAAATAAAGTCAATCACGTGAGTATATATATTAAGTAATTTCAAATTATTTTAACGAAAAGGGCCTAAAATGTCCTTAAACAATGAGATTTGGTACAATATTGCCCTACATCAACCTTATGACTTATGAGTCTGATCCGTTAGAGATAAGGGTATTTTTGAGCCAAAAGGTGGAAGGCAAAGGTATTTTAAGGTCAAAAGGTAGATGGAGGGTAATTTTGTACCAATTCAAATACTAGAGGGATATTTTAGGCCCTTCTCTGTACTTAAAATCCTTTATCAATATGGATTATCTTCGTTTGTTTACAAAATAACCGCCTTAACCTTGGTTCACCAACACCTTCATAACAAGTTTCGAATTTCATGAGTTGTTAATCTTTTTATAGGTAAGATGTTATAAGTTCTTAAACTTATTAATCGATAATATCGGGCGGATTTATGTTATAGTAAGGGGTATCACGTGTCACGGTTTGTTGGAAAAAAATATTAAATACGTATATATAATCAAAATGTAAAAACAAAAAAAAGGATAAAATAAAATAAAGTGACATTGCTTGTCACAAGTGATGTTCCAACTCAATTGGCCTGATGCCTCAAATATGAACTGAAGGGTCCTGTGTTCAATACTCCACTAACACCAATGTGACTAAATTAAGATTGTCCATTAAAATTATTGTTCTTCTATTTGTTTCCCCTTTCCTCTTTCCTTTCGTCAATGAAATTAGTTAAGTTTGATTTATTGAATTAGATAAATAATGATTTTTTAGTGATTGTTTGGTGCCTTATATATACATACTCTATTCATATTTTTTTTAAACGTTTGATATTCCCTACATTCATCATTATCTGTTCAATATACTACAAGTAGTTTGTAGAGAATAGCAGAAGAAAAGTTTAATCGGAGAACCCTTCTGCTAGCCCAAGATCGTTAAGTAAGATCAGAAGACTCAACTAAAAGAAAGGAAACCAGAAGGGAGAAAGAGTATTTTGGATGAGAGAAGTTTGTTATAGAAGAAAACTATTTGTTTTGGGTTGTTCTTAGGTTTACGTACAAATGACTAAGGCCATACTTGTGTGGGATGGTTCTAGATATTATAGCATCTAGACTATTCTATCTTTTACTATAAATATCTAACTCTCTAGAATATCTAGATATTTCTTCAGGGCAACTTCTCTAGAATATCTAGATATTTCTTTAAGATAATTATTCTAGATACTACACTAGACTATTCTAGAAACTATACTAGAAAAATCTATGATATTTCAAAAATCAACTATATCATTTTTCACATAGTTGTCCAACTTTTGTAACGACTTGATTCTGTCGTTAGGGAAAAGCCAATGGGGAAAGAATTGGGGTCAGAAAAAATTTTGGTAGTATCTTGGAATTTCCTAGCCTAGTCCGGATTTGGACGAAATCGGAGTCAGTGAGGTCTAGGGAAATAGGGTAACAAATGAGAGATCTATTTATGATTTTGATCACACGACTAGATAGCTAAGACGTTAAAGAACTCGTACGACTTTACAGAATTGAATTCGGGTGAGTAGAACTCCCGAAACTGATCTTAGCGTGATCAAATATTTTCTGAGTGTCATGAGATGAAGGTGTGTTGTGAAATGGGAGTTTGGAATTCTTAAATTTGCTCACTGTTTCTGTGCAAGCCGCTAGAGCAGGATTAGTGCCGCCAGGGCGGGGCTGCTGTGGCGGGTTGGGTCCCGCTATGGCCGGACAGACGCAACTTAAGTCGGAAATAAAACCCTAAAAATGTTTTATTCTGC